TAGGAGTGAGGGGCATTGGCAGAGCTGTGGAAATAGAATATCAGGGGGCTGCAGGGGAGGATGGAAGAAGCATTGGTACAGCTTGGGAGGGGGATTGAGGGCAGAAGTGGAATATCAGCGGGGACGGACTTCTGGTCACGACTCAGGGGCATCAGCAGAGCTTTGAGGACACCCAAGACAGGACTAGCAGGGTGTATTGCAGGGCAGGATTGAGGTGCCTTAGCAGAGAGATGGCAAATGGAAGCAATGAAGCAGAATGAGTTGCACTTTCTTTTTGTCATTTAATAAGAAGCGATAATTCACCACATCGATTCCACTCAAATCTCCATCCTCCTCTGAGATCCACGTGTGGCACTAAATCTCTCTGCCTTGTTCTGAGTTTCCTTTACCTCGCATGCTTCCCCTCCCCCAGGGCTGCAGCTTGCTGCGGGCTGCAGCAAGAATGCTGTCCTTGTGCTGCTGAGGATGTGTGTGCTTGCACACAGCCTCAAAGCTCCATTTCCCCCTGCCAGCTACTGTCACACCATCAGGAGAAGAACAAGTCCAAAGGACAACTAAGGGCAGCACCCCATTCTCTCCCCTTTAACCCCCTCCTCTTAACCCCTCTGTAACCTTGGGACATCCTCCCTCCACAGCTCCTGGGCAAGCTTGAGGGATTAGGTCTAGAGATACTGATAAAATGATGGGGAGGAGAAGGGAGAGTGAGGCTGATGGGGAGAGAGAATCAGTATCTGATACGAAGATATAGAAAGAGGCAGGTGAAAAGAGCACAGGGAGATAGAGGGAGACTTTTGGGGAGAGAGAGAACAGAGGGAGTGACAGAGAAAATCAGGTGGAGAGAAAGGTGGGACGGAGGGAAGAGGAGAAGGCTAGAGAACAGAAGGGAAGCAGAGAACAGGAGAGTTGGGTAGGGAAAGACTGCACTTGTCTACATGAGGAGATTTTTAACAATTTTATAGGTAATGTTTTAAAACTATGGTGTGGAGAGGGCAAGTTGTAGCTTTCACTTGCCTTAACACGTGTGGGGGGGTGACCACAAAGCACCTTGCAAGGGGTCACCGTGACCCAGCAAACATGGCAAACCCACAGCTTGTGCTGCCTACCCAGGGGGTTTTAAAACATATTTAGCGACTCTGCACTTTTCAGAAAGCTGCTCCTAGTGTGGACAAATGCTCAGGCTGACGGGGAAAGGCGCGTCGAGCAAAAAGTACGGGAGCAGCAGGCGCTGCACAGACAAACTGGGTGAGACCGGGGGTAGGGGTAAAAAAGGCGTGGGTAAACTTCAGCTTCAGAAACCAAACTCCAACTTGTCAAGGAAACGTTCTGTTTCTTGCCCTAAAACAAAAGACTGTTTGATAGCTGACACTTCATTTTCTATAAAATAGGAGAAAATGACATAAACCTGTAAAAAAAATAAATGTCACCTGCTTTTAGCAGTCAGCAAAAGTACCAGGCAGAAGCTTGGGATGTCTCGTTGCAGATTTTTACAGGCCACAGTTTTCCCAACAGATCTGTTGCTGAGCGTAATCAGATGGTAGATAATGCACACATCAGTTGTGGTAGTTGTGCAGCCAGGATTCGCTTATCACAAGAGAGCAGTGAGTAAACGCTTTATTCCTTAGGTCAGAAGTGGGCAAATATCATATTCCCCAAATGAGAAGTGAGGAACCTGTTTATCCGGATTTATCCTTGACTACGCTACTGTGTGGGACACCGTCTGTGGTTCTTTCCATCTCTGTCTGCAATTTTCCTTCCGTCTGTTGCCATGCTAACAGGCATGCAGCTCCACCAATGGTAGCACTAGTGCAGACCGGGTCTGCATTTGCCAGCATTTAACCACTGTGTCATATAACCCGGCTCAGCCCAAGCTTACGCCTTCATTTCTTTATTTTAACATGCATCAGGGAATGGGCAGCATCCTGCTTGTCTGTATCATGGGAAAGGGGAACTGTACCCTACTTTCCCCATCCGGGATCAGCTTCTTTCTCCCTGTTCCCCTGCACTTGCTTTGTTTGTAGAGAGATAAGGGCCTACCCAGGAGAGTTGGCACAGGATTATAATCTCCCTCAAACAAAGTGCATGCAGAAGTGCAGGTGGTTCCCACCTGTTAAAATAAACCAGAACTGAGCTGGGGAGTGGCACTGTCCTCAGCCAAAGCACCTTCCCTCCTGCAAAGAAATGGGTACAGCAGTTGTGAGAGCTTCACCCACATACACCACCTCATATCTGCCCTGGAGTGGTAAAAGGGGAGCTCTATTTCCATGGACCATGTCAGTCCTTGGCCTCTCTCCTGAGAGTGACAACAACATGGTCACCTATGCCCATTTGTGATGGTGGTTTTTGCAACATATACACCTGTCCCACTAAGAACTTGATGGAGACACCCCCATCTTATTAGAGAGAGCCCACCAAACATCCATTGGATGGGAATGAATTTGAGTATCTAATGAAGGAAATGAGATTGAAATTAATTTGCACTTGCTGGTGTCCAGGGTTGGATTGGACAAGGTGCCGTTGAGGTAAAAGATTTTGTATTCCAGTCCCCAAACCTCATGAGCTATCCACTCCCCTCTGACCTAGGGCTGTATTGGAACTGATGTTCTAGAGGTGAAATGCTTTACTTAGATCTGTATTAAGATCACACAGAAAGTGAGGGTCTCAGCTCAAATTCAAATCCAGAACTCTACCTTGTGGGTGTTCACAGTTTTAACATGTCTGCACCAGACTGGTTCATCACCTGTAATATCTCTGTGAATTCAGCTTCAGAGCTTCTTTACATTCAGAATCATAGAAATGTAGGGATGAAAGGGACTTCAAGAGCTCATCTAGTCCAGCTCCCTGCATTGAGGCCGGAGCAAGTAAACCCAGACCATCCCTGACAGTTGTTTTTCCAACCTGTTCTTAAAAACCTCCAATGACAGGGATTCCACAACCTCCCTTGAAAGCCTATTCCAGTGCTTAACTATCCTTACTGTTACATTTTTTTTCCAAATATCTGACTTAAATCTCCCTTGCTGCTGATTAAGTCCATTACTTCTTATCCTACCTTCAGTGGACATGGAGAAAAATTGATCACCATCCCTTTTGTAACAGCTTTTAACGTATTTGAATACTTCTATCAAATTCCCTGTTAGTTTTCTTTTCTCAGGAGTATACATATCCAGTTTTTTAAAACTTTTCCTTATAGGTCAGCTTTTCTAAACCTTTTTATGATTTTTGTTGTTCTCCTCTGGATTCTCTCCAATTTATCCACATCTTTCATAAAGTGTGGCACCCAGAATTGGATACAGTACTCCAGCAGAGGCCTCACCAGTGCTGAATACAGCAGGACAATTACCTTCCGGGTCTTACATACAACACTGCTGTTAATACACCCCAGAATGATATTAGTCTTTTTTGAAGCTGCATCACATTGTTGACTCATATTCAATTTGTGATCCACTATAACCTCCAGATCCTTTTCAGTAGTGCTAGCACCTAGCCAGTTTTACTCAATTTTGTAGCTTTGAATTTGACTTTTCCTTCCCAAGTGAAGTCCTTGCACTTGTCTTTATTGAATGTCATCTTGCTAGTTTCAAATTTCTCTCTCCAATTTGTCAAGACATTTTGGATTCTAATCCTGTTCTCCAGAGTGCTAACTACCCATCCCAGCTTGATGTCATTCACAGATTTTATAAGTATACAGGTGCATCGCATCTTACGTGCATTTAACATGCGTGAATTCAGCTTTGCGCGGTTGGCAAAAAAAAAAAAGAAAAAGAGAAAAATAACAATTTAAATACTGTACCTGTAGTGCGGGCGATTCCGCCCGCCATTACACTCAATGTAATTTTGACTATACGCGATTTCGCTTTATGCGCTGACTGCTGAACGTAACCCCAGCGTAAGATGAGACTCGCCTGTATTCTTCACTCCATTATCCAAGACATTAATTAACATATTGAAGAGTAGCAGACCCAGGACTGACCCCTGCAGGACATCATTAGATACGCCTTCCCAGTTTGACAGCAAACCATTGATAATTATTCTTTGAATACGGTTTTGCATCCATCATAGAGTAATTTCATCTAGACCACATTTCCTAGTTTACTTATGAGAATGTCATGTGGGACTGTGTCAAAAACCTTACTGAAATCAAGATATATCATGTCGACAGCTTTCCCCTATCCACTAGGCCAGTAACCCTGCCAAAGAAGGAAATTAGGTTGGTCTTGCTTAATTTGTTCTTCACTAATCCATGTTGGGTATTGCTTATCACTCTATTATCCACTACGTAGTTACACATCCATTGTTTAATGATTTATTCCAGAATTTTTTCAGGTATCAAAGTTAGGCTGTCTGTAATTCTCCAGATCCTCTTTGTTCCCATTTCTACAGATAGGTACTGTGTTTGCTCTTTTCCAGTCCTCTAGGACCTCACGTGTCCTCTATTCTCAAAGTTAATCACTAAGGTTCTGAGATTGCTTCAGTTAGATCCTTAAATACCCTAAATTGAATTTAATCAGATCCTGCTAACTTGAATACATCTAACTTATCTAAATATTCTTTAACCTGTTCCTTCTCTATTTAAACCTTTAATAATTTAAACCTTCAAAATAATTTAACCTTTAAAATATCTCTCTATCTATGCTACTGAAGGAGGTTCTGAACTCATAGCCAGTTCTCCTGCACTGTTCCCAACTGAACCTCCTGCTGGGACAGGAGCTTTGAGCTCTGAACAGCCAGAGCTGCATAGAGCAACTCTTACTGGAGGTTGCTGGGAGACACTAATGCAGCCAGTGTTCCTGCACTTTTGTGTTCAGAAGTTTCTTTTGGGAGGGGCCAGGCCTGGCATGGCGGGAGCTGCACTCAGCGAGAGCTTCTGTATTGTTCCCTACAGCACTCTGCTGGGAGACAAGAAGTGTGGAGAAGCTAGGTGCTCCCTGTGCATTGTGCCCCAGGCCTATTTCCTAGCATTTCTCCTGCTGAGAGATGCTAGGACTGGAATAGTTTTTAATTACCTGTAGCCAGTGATCCCTCCCTGTTCCTTACAGAGCCTTTTGCGGTAGGAGGCTGGGACTGTAGTAGATGTGATCTCTTCATAGCTGACACGACTGTACTATTCTTGATGGCATGCTTTGCTGGAAGATGGTAGGTCTGGAGTAGTCAGGAGCTCCCCATGGAGCTAGTATTCCTTCTACACTTTTTATAGTTTTCAGAGTGGTAGCCATGTTATTCTGTAACAGCAAAAACAATGAGTAGTCCTTGTGGCACCTTAGAGACTAACAAATTTATTTGGGCATAAGCTTTCATGGGTTAAAATTCACTTCATCAGATGCATGGAGTGAAAAATATAGTAAGCAGTATATATATGAAAAGATGGGAGTTGACTTACCAAGTGGAGGGTCAGTGCTAAGGAGGCCAATTCAATTAAGGCGGAAGTGGCCTATTCTTAACAGTTGATTACTTTTGTAGTGCTAACGAGGCCAATGCAAGGTGGTCCTCGCTCATTTCTAACAGTTGACAAGAAGGTGTGAGTATCAGCAGAAGGAAAACTACTTTTTGTAGTGACCCATTCAGTCCCAGTCTTTATTCAGGCCTAATTTGATGGTGTCCAGTTTGCAAATTAATTCCAGTTCTGCCGTTTCTCATTGGAGTCTGTTTTTGAATTTTTTTCTTGAAGAATGGCCACTTTTAGGTCTGTTACTGAGTGTCCAGGGAGACTGAAGTGCTCTCCTACTGGTTTTTGAATGTTACAATTCTTGATGTCAGATTTGTGTCCATTTATTCTTTTGCATAGAGACTGTCCAGTTTGGCCAACGTATATGGCAGAGGGGCATTGCTGACACATGATGGCATATACCACATTTTATAGTCCTCCTCCTCTGAAAGGCTGTAATTTCCAGAGTCAGTGCTTCTCTTCTGGTCCCTAAAGTTTTATGTGACAACGATAAAGCTACTTACTTTCTCTATGCTTCACTTTACCTTCCCCAGCCTCCACGCAGGTCTGTGCTACAGTTTTAATGAAATAGTGCCCATAGCATACCATGCATACAGTGCCTCCAAATGGGAAAGGCCAAGCTAGGGGTAGCTGTGACCTACCTTATTCTCTATGGTGACATTAAAGTTTACTTGTATTCATTCTCTCTCACATGTTGCTGAAAAGGAACTAGATTTCTTGTGAAGCTTTAGTCAATACTGTTGAGCTACCTATCACGGTCAGCTGAACTCTTATCTCTCCCGTCCAGTTGCTGTGCTCTTTCTGGTTTCCGTGACCTCATTCCTGCCCAGGGAAGAACGCACCAAAATATAAATAACTTTACCAGTACCAAAAGCTTCTGTGTATTTGTATTGTTTTGCCTTACTTTTTGTTCATAAGAACACTGTCCTTGGACAAATTGTACACCGGATACACAAAGGAAAACACCCAGACCCTCAAAACATTCACACAAAGCAGGTGCTACTATAAACGAATAAATAAAAATAAAATATAAACATGCCATAAATAGACAAATACAGTCATGTAGACATGCATCCATGCACACACACACAGACACACACAGACACACACGCCCCCACACAGAAATATCAATACAAATGGACATGCACACAGACAGAAAAACACAGACATACACAAATATGTACACACACAAATACAGACATAGAGACATAGGTGCACACATATACCGATACACACATATAGAAATGCATGCACACATACATGGCATGTAGATATACACACACCCACACACAAAACACAGGCATCTAGATATGCACACACACATACACCAATACAGGCATATAGATATGTGTGTACACACATACACCAGTACAGACATGTAGACATACACCAATATAGACACACACACACATATTAAGACAAATACGGACATATAGACATGTGCACACATAAAGACCAGCACAGACATATGACCAGGCTTACAAAGAGATAAATAGAGGCATCTAGACATGTACACACACACATATGCAAATACAGGCTTATAGACATGAATGTGCATACACACAAATACAGGGATATACAAATGCACATGAATTCACACTTGGATAAATACAGACACACTAATACTTGCATGCTGACATGCAAACACACACACAGATAGATAGATAGATAGATAGATAGATAATCACACCGTCATCTCCATGTGCAAACATAAGTACACATAGCCATATGCATACAGCTACACGGGCATAATATGTGCACTCTCATTTGCGAAATGGCACATCCACAGGGCCGTAGGTAGGCACACACACAATTTAATGAGAATGGAGAGGATCTGTGAAGGACAGAGGACCAAAAAGGCAAAGGAACGCAAGAAGAGCCATTCCAGGAGAGCTGGATCCGTGCCAGGGGGAAGGGGGGGGGGGGAATGAGAGAGCTAGGTGGAGAGCTAGAGAGATGTACTTCTATGTGCAGAAAAAAAAGCAATATGGATGAGAAGCGAGAGAGAGAAAGTAAACAAACACGGTAAAGTGTGTGGTTCTCTCCATAAAGAAGAGAGGGAGACAAATTTCTGCAGGGTGGAGGAATTTCTGTTATCTGAGAGGAAATACTCAGAGGGCTTAGACAGGTTTCAGAGTAGCAGCCGTGTTAGTCTGTATCCGCAAAAAGAAAAGGCGTACTTATGGCACCTTAGAGACTAACCAATTTATTAGAGCATAAGCTTTCGTGAGCTACAGCTCACTTGATGCTCTGCACGTACACACCCTCCTGCCTTGCCCCCCTCGCACTCTCACACTGACACACAGGAGTCCAAAGATGGAGACAAAAAATGTTGTGCTTCCAGGGCCCGCCCCATCCAAACTGCTCCCTCACACAGAAAAAGGTCGTGAGCCTGCCACAGGCCAATGCCTGGCCCGGGGTGCATGAGGTGATCCCAAATTCTTGTGGTCGTGGCTTCACCTCTTGCATCAGAATATAAAGGAACTGAATCTCTGCACCCAATAGTTTGGAGCTTATCCCCACTGAAGGATGAGGGGACGAGTTGCTGCGCTGCAAAAGAGGCCATCCCTTTGGGGGAGTTTCCTTCTGTCCCCTCTCCGAAGGGGTTGGTGGACCCCACTGCTGATGCCAGAGGCCAGCATTTTGGCAGGAGGACGAGGAGTGCAGCAGCATTAGAGGGGCAGAGCACTGGGGGAGACGTTTACCCAAGCTCCCTTTTGCGCCCTCTCTCTCACAGAATGCCTGACAGTGACACCACAGGGCTGGGAAGGGATGGAGCTGCAGAAGTGCCAGAGGGGCCCTCTGAAAAGGAGACAATATCCTGAACTCCTTCCTGCCCCATCTCTGGTGGGTGCTGGCACCACGGGCCAATCCTGGTGGGGGTTGGGTGCTTCGAGGAGCTGTCCTTCAGAGGTGGCATTAACCTGGGGTCCTTTTTCTTCGGTCTCTGGGGAGTACTTAGTGATGACACTTCACGGTAGCATTGGTGGAGGGGGGCGGGGGGGGGGCACGGTGCTGCACAGAGGGCCTCCTTCAGATCAGTGTTGATTCTTCCTATAATAATACTAGGGGTGTCCCTGGAGCCTTCTGCTGTTGAGGGCCAGGGGCGGGAGAGGTTACTGGAAGGAGTCAGAGGGAGGGCGTCACAAATTCTAACGTTTCAAAGTGGCTTCGCTGTTATTAGCCTGCAGTGAGCCAGGACCTTTTGACGGGAAGAGGGGGGCAGCTGAAATCCTGCCATTTCTGGATGTCATCCGCTCATCTGCAGCTAATTTTAGACTTCAGTAGTAAGGGGAGCAGGGCTGGGGGAGGGGGGCAGATGGAGGCTTTTTTTTTTCCAATTACTTTTGCTGCTGTAATCACGTAGGCTTAATGGGACTCCTCCCACTCTTCTGCCCCCCCCCCCAACCCCATCTCCTCTCCTCTCCATGCAGCTGCTGCAAAAGCCAATGGGATCCAGGCCAAGCAGCTGGGGAGTGGAACATGTTAATTAGGGTGACCAGATGTCCCGATTTTATAGGGACAGTCCTGGTTTTTAGGTCTTTTTCTTATATAGGTTTCTATTACCCCCCCCACCCCATCCCGATTTTTCACACTTGCTGTCTGGTCACCCTAATGTCAATAGGCATATCTGCATAGGCATGCCTGTGTGAGTGTGTAGGTGTAAGTTTGTCTGAGTGGGTATATGTCTTTATATGTGTGAGAGCAATTTCCAGCTCGCTTGCCACCGTCCTGTGTCTTGCTGGCCCCATGCCCCCTGCACATACAAGACAGAGCTTCTTCAGTGCCTTTTAACAGAAACACACAGAAAACCACACAGGAAACCACAGGCTCATGTGTTTTCCTTCCCCAGAATATATTTTTCTAGTGAATTTCTGACTAACTTGTAGAGGAGAGAGAAGTCACATATTGCACGTTCCCCAGTGGCACCCTGCCTTGTGCTGGAGTGCCCCACCTTCAGGGCAGTCAGAGGAGAATTCAGTTCTTATGGACCTGGACTCCTGGGCCTCTTCTCTGTCCTCCTCCCCACAGCTCCCCTATTGGAACCCGAAACCAACCAGGCAGGAAGCCCTGGAATTGGTATCTTTGCATTGCAGTGAAGCCCCAGTCTGGATCAGAAACCTGGAGAAACAGTCCCTTATTAAAAGTTATCCCCTAGCACTGCTCATTCTCTCTTTGGCTCCATGGCTTTTTTAAATGAACATAATTTGCCAGGTTGTTACCATCCAATGTCCAAGGAGAGAAGAAGCAACTGATGTGTAAGCATAAACCCACACCACAAACAGCTCTCCCAATGCCCCTCCCTTGTGCCTTGCAGCTCCCCTGCTATTCCAGACATAGATTCCACACACAGCTTTGACAAGGCCCCTCAATCCTTTCCAGCAGTCCCCCTGCTACTCCTATCCTGAGGACTGAATTATGGAGTGCAAACCCTGCCATGATTTACCTATTGCCTACGCCTGTCATAACCTATCACGTTCATCTCTGTGATATCCTCTCATGCCACCTTTTCCACTGCCGATTTCCCCTTCCTCAGATGCATTATCTGCAGCTCTCCCTTTCCATCAGCCCCTCTGTGCAGCTCATATGCCTTTCACAGCCTGACACCAACTGGAACATAGCCTGATCAGCAGACCCGTAACTAGGCATTTTAGGCATGCTGGGGCAAGCAAGCATATTTGTGCTGACTACCTTTTTTTTTTTCCTGTCGTTTTTTAGGGTGACCATATTTCCCTAAATTGAAAACGGGACATTGGGTAAGCAGTGATGCCAGGCCGCTTGGGCCAGCCCCACCTGGCGTCACCTCTGGCCCCCTCTGTCCACCCCTGAGGCTTTGTGCCCTGCGGGGGGGCTGCCCTGCTCGCCTCGCCCTGGTTACTGCCCTGGTGATCAGCACCTTCAACTCACAGGGGCTTCACTTATCGCTTTAAATTAAAAGAGGGAAAGAAAGAGGCAGGGACAAATAGAAAAGGATATGGAAAGAAGCAGAGAGAGGCTGTAGCAGAAATAGAGCAAAAAACCCACACCTATACCAGAGAGAGGGGTCCCTCATATAAATAACACTACAGTATTCTCCAGTAATTACATCCAAACATTACAGCATTGCTATTGGGAGATGGAGTGGTGTGGACCAATCCTGGAGTATGCTGCAGTACTTTTTATAAGTGATAGATAGATAGATTAGATAGATGGATTGCTGGAGGCAAATAAATGGGGAGGGTGGGAGACAAGGAGGGAGAGATAGGGTTTGAAAAGGGACAACACACAGAAGGAGAGATATCAGCCTGTAATACATGGTTGCTGCTTTCAGGTCTCCCCTTCTCTTTTTGCTACTAGGCCTGGTTGCCCTGACAACATCAATCAGGAAAAATTAGGCTTGTGCCCTAGATGTTGAGAAGGAGCTTTTTCCAATTAGGGCAATCAAAGAAGAAGAGGCCTGAAGAATTGAGGGGGTAGAGGAAGGACCTCAGATGACCTTCTGGGCAATGTCACGTCTCTCTTGTAGCAGGGAGTGGCATTCAGAAAATGGCCAGCATCATCATTCTGAGAAAGGCCTCACTTTGATTGTGGTTTCCTGGCCAGTCCTGCGCACTGCCTCTGCAGACCTCATGCTTGTTGACATGTTACTGGGTGCTCCCTTCCTTCATCATGCAGTGTCAGTGCAGTGCTAATGCTCTTTGGGTTTAGGGATCCTGCTGACTCACTTCGTCTGTAAGCTGAGGAGCTCTTTCACTCTGTCTGCATCCTTTTTGCTCTCATTCTTCTTTCACTTCCATCCTCGTTCTCTGCATGTCTTTCTCTCCTCTATTATCACTCGTCCACTCCTCTCCACTTCCACCCCCCTCCTCCTTTGTTTCTCCTTTTCCTCAGCTGCCTCCTTCTCACTCTCCTATTTTTGTTTTTTCCTTACCTTTCTTTCTTCCACTTTCTCTGTCCTTCCCTTCCTTTGTTCTTTCTTCCTTTTATCTCTCTATTATTCTCTCTTCCCTTTCTCTTCTGCTTCTCTGCTC